ACATCGCGATGAGTGAAATTGAGGAGGTGGAGCCACGACTTCCATCTCCACCCATTGAAGAGGATACAATCTATGTGGCTTTAGGAAAAGATGTGAAGAAGTTTGTGACAGTTCTCATGTGGGCTTTGCAAAATTCCGGTGGAAGGAAAATTTGCATCCTTCATATTCTTCAACTAGCTCAGAAGATTCCCATGGACGCGAGTAAGTACTTTATTTCTTGGCTCTATTTGGTTTTTCGAGTCGCTGTTTATTCATATGTGCCCAGGAGATGGTGGGTCGGATTGATTGAATCGTTGTTTATTAAGATTTGGCTTCCATTGGATGTAGGATTTGCCCGTTATCGAACACTGTGATTTATATTTAGTTTTATTATTATTTGGTGTTTTTTTTTTTTCTGTGTTAGATTGGATTTCTTCCTAGACTTGATTGCCTGTACTGAAGGAGTCTTTTACTGATTTAGCTCAAAGGTTGATTATAGTATTTTTGTCCCTTTTTTCCTGAAGAATTTGTTTGACTCTTCAATGTGTTTATGTTCACCTTTCACATAATAAATCTCGTGTGTTCTGATCAAGAGTACTAAGATTGCGATCATAGTTGGCTGGAACAGGCATTTGTGGTATTCCACTCTATGATATAATTTGTATTTTTCTCCTGTATATTTGTGTCCATTCTTAATGTTTGACTAACTAATGGCTATTCAACTATGAAGTAATAGAAGCTGAATCTATCTTATGTTTTATTTTTCTAAATCTAGTCATCAAACACCAGCAAAAATGAAAAAAGAAAAGAAAGAGAGATAGAGGAGGGGGGATTGAGACATGCATAGATTGTGAGAGAAATCGAAAACGAAAGACTTTCAAAATTTTACTTCTGTAGATAATTTGTTGTTTGCATCTGTTCTTGAAAAATTAGAAGATGATCCCTTTTTCATTATTTCAAAATTTAGCGAACATTTTATTTATATGCATTTTGTTTCTTGGTTTGCAGTGGGTACGAAAGTTCCAATTACACTGCTGGATGAGCATAAAGTTAGAGCATATCATGAAAATCAGAGGCAAGAGATGCAAGAGATTCTGGAAAAGTATGTTCAGATTTGTCGCCGGGAAGGGGTATTGTCTTTTATCTGTCTTCCAAATGATACTGTGGCTTTTAAACTTTATAACATAATTGTGGAAATATTTTCTTCTGCACCTTTGGATGTTTTCTCCTGTGATTTAACAGGATGTTTGAGCATGATAACCATCTATTATCCATTCGAAACTTAATGTAGCTAACAGATGCAAACCTCTGTATTAAGTGTGCCATTTTCGAACTTATGAAGGTTTCTTTTGGAACAATGATTGAATAGATGTGCTAAAGCTTATTTCTTGTAAACATGGTTTACTTCTTATCTTAGTATCAGGCAGAGACACTGCACAGAGAAATGGATTATATTGAGAAGGGCATTGTGCAACTCCTATCTCAGCTTCGTATTAAGTGGCTCGTCATGGGAACAGGGTCTTGTAAATCTTATTCTAGGTATAATGCTGCAAAAACTATTACTAGTCGTTATTATCATGTTACTAGATAATTTTAAAATGATAAATGCTACCAAGGGGTGGCAATACGGATCTGCAGCCCTCTACCCATCTTAATCTACCTGTAAAAAAGAAGATTGGGTGAGCAGAAGTAGGTGTCCAATGACTAGTGTTGGAGAAATGTCACACTTGAATGAGGTGGTTCCCGATTGTGTATGGGTGTCCAGTGGGTTATGCATTCTCATTGACTAAATATATTGAAGTAGAGATAAAAAATTAATTTCATTTCCAATGGCAACTTGATGACTGCAGATAGCTTGATATTTTGGTATAGGTTCATCTAATAAGGTTCCTAATCTTACATTGCCCCATGGTCTAAGAAAAGCTTATATGTGAACCCGGGTTGCACAGATAGCACCTGAAACAGAAACTAATATTAGAATAAAAAAGAAATTGAAGGTTTTATCTCTGTTTCATCGTGTTTGCCAATTTCTACCTTATTATAAATGAAGTGTCCTTGGCAGTCTGAATTGGACGCAACCTGCACATCTGTCGCTGTCTAATGTGAATATCAAAGATTGGACAGGATATGAGAAAAAATAAAGATAGTTTTGGGAAAAAAAGGTTGACCGAAGAAATCTAAAATTGCAAAGAGCATCAACAGGAAAAATTTTGATCCGAAAAAGTTTTGATAATTTCTATACACTCATATCTTGTCCTTCATCTTGCTTCGCGAGAAGGATGAATATTCAAGTAATGGAGGCATAAGCAGTATTTTCTTAAAGAGGTCAATTTTAAGTACTCTGATCTTTTCTCTTTTTTCTATGTCTAGGGGCAAGGAGACTACCCTTCAGAAGATTTTCTCCTTCAGAAACAGTACAAGGTCGTTTTCTTCTTACTACTTCTATAATAGTTTATAGCTGCTTTGTTCAACAGTTGATGTTGGAACAAGTGGTAGTTTATGTATCCTCAATGGGCGAGACAATGCCTTATATTTTATCTTCCTGTGACATGTTTATCTCTTTGAACTGACTGAGGTTATTTTTTCTTTTATATAACTTCAACTTCTAGGAAAACAACCTATGTGCGTCTAAAAGCACCTAGTTTCTGTCGCATTTCATTTATATGGAAAGGGAACCTTATACATACAAGGTATGATTTTACTGTTGTGTTTTTTAGGTGTGATTTTAATGTTCTGTTCACTTAGCTGTCCCATGAATTCTAGTATGGAGTATGAACCAAAACACATGGTTGTGTATCATAATATTTATAG